TGCTTCCATGAAGATTTACAGCCTCAGAACCCCTAGACAGGGTCATGATGAGTCGGAACCTACTCGACAACAAACAACCACCAACCAATCTTTTTTAAGAGAATGAAATATGAAAAACTAAATTAATACAATTTCTTAAATTAAGACTAGAGAAAATCTGATTCAATATATAAAAGACTAATATTTAAGTATGCTGGATCCTATGTTATGATTATTTAAGGGACAAGAAAGAAGAAAGAGAAGGGAGGAAAAAGAGATGGAAAGGAACAGTAACACGATGGATGGAAAATTAAAGGGAAGTCAGTTCCTCTAGAAGGGCTCCAATGGAAAAGAAAAAGGAGTGTGAGCAAGAAAAGAAATACAATTTACTTTCCATCCAGATTCCTATTTCCAGAATAATTCTCTCTGCCTTCATTCCCTAGTCCTCAGCTTTTGTTCTGCCTCACTCCACAATCCTCCCACCAGAACCTAGCCACAATAGATCTGCCTTGCTGCAGAAATCTCTATCTTTGCTTCCCTGCTGCCAAAAAATATTCCTCTCCTTCCAACATCTTCTTGTTGACATCTCATTTTCAAGCCCAACCTTCTGACATGGAAGCGTTCTCTTCTATTTTCCAAGCCAACATTTTTTTCATGGTTACATCCCCAGTTCCTAGAATAAGATCCTGTATATATTAACATATTTGAATTATGATGTTAACCAAAAATATTGAAAGTACCATGGACTGTCAGAAGAACAAACAAATTTGTCTTGGAAGAAGTACATCCACAATGCTTCTCAGAAACAAGGATTCCAAGACTTTTTCTCTTGTACTTTGGTCACATTGTCAGGAAGGCCAGTCCCTGGAGAAGAACAGCATGCTTGGTGAAGTGGAGGGTCAATGAGAAAGAGAAAGACCCTCAATAAAGTGGACTGACATAGTGGCAGCAACAGTGGGCTCAAACAAAGCGATTGTGAAGATGGCAAAGGAACTAGCAGTGTTTTGCTCTATTGTACGTAGGGTCATTATGAGTCAGAACTAATATGATGACACCTAACAACAACATATATTAAGAAAATTATTCTTTGTCCTTTATTCAAAAACACCAAATATGTTTTCCTTTTTGTCTTTTTTCTTCTTCTTCTTTTTCATGCTTTGGTCAGTCATTTGAGCCCACCAGCCGCTCCACGGGAGAAAGATGAGGCTTTCTGCTCCTGCAAAGATTAGCAGCCTCAGAAACCCTATACAAGGTCACTGTGAGTTGGAACCAACTCTGTAGTGCTTAACGACATGACAACTCTGAGAATAGATTTTTATAATTTCCCAAGATTTGTTGTAGTATCCTCCAGTTTTATTTTTTAGCATTTAAATATTACTTAGTCTTACACCTTACCTAGTATAAGGTGTGAGGTTGTTGTTAAGTATCATCAAGTTGTTTCCAACTCATTGCTACCCTTTATAAGGTTTCTGAGGAGCTGCTAGTGAGTTTGAACCACTGATCTTGTGGTTAGCAGTCCAGTGCTTGTCCTACAGCTCCACACCAATACTCCAAGGTGTGAGGAAGCGATCTAATTTACTTTTTAACTAGATTTGATGTTGTTGTTAAGTGCCATCAAGTCTGTTCTGGCTAATTATGTCCCTGTATAGGGTTTCCAAGGAGCAGCTGATGGGTTTGAACCACCAACCTTGAGTTTAACAGCCGGGTGCTTATCCTATAGCACCACACCAGGACTCCTTTTGACTAGCTGGGTACCCATTTTTAAAATAATCTACGTGTTAACCCACAGATTTGAAATGACTTTATCATATACTAAATTCCTATATGTTTGAGTTTCTTTTTTGGACTTGCTAATCCATGGTGCTATATCTAGGATAAACACTGGTCTGTAAAACAAAGCCAGCAGTTCAAACCCACCGGCTACTCCTCAGAAACCCTATACAGGGACACTATGAATCGGAATCGACTCAACAGCACTTAACCAAAAGCAACAACTATCTAGTCCAATTAGTCTCGTGCACAGTGCCACACTTAATTATTGTAGTTTATAATGTTTTATCTGTTAGTTTCCCATCATTACTCTACTTCTTAAAAATCATTTTTCCTGGTTATTTTTTGTGTTTCTCTTTGAACTTGAAAAATGTCTTTTCATTTTATTAAGAAAATCCATATTGGAGTTTTATCATAATCTTGACGCACTTATAGATTAACTTGAAGAGAATTGATATCATTGTGATACTGTCCTCTTGACCAGGATCATATTCATTCTATTCAAGTCTTCTTTTGTGTCCCTTTAGGATTATTTTAAAGTTTTTTTTCATTGGTTTGTTTCCATTTCCATTGCTTGCCTAACCATATCGATATTTTGTAGAACTTTTTCCTAACGCCTTATGTGTTATGGGAGGTCTGTTCCATGGCATCTAATGCAGCATCTAGCTAACAATTTATGTATATTTGTACCTTTCTAGTCTCAGAACTAAACTTCCAGTGCCGCCTTAGTAGATTATTTAAAACAACAATACAAATTTTCTTCCTTGGCTGTTTTCATAACTTTACTACAATGCCTTTCCTTGGACCAGAAGAGAAGGAGAACAATCCCATAAGTGAATCATAATGACTTCTCAGTCACTAGGGAAGTCACTGTTATTTCTAAATCATTTGCCCTTTATTACCATGCCACTACAAATTTGACTTTCATCTAATAATTGTTTTCAGGTCTTAGGTAGTTATTGAATTTCCACCTTAAGCAAGAATTTCCACCTTAAGCAAGTTTCTGTGAGAGAGACAATACGCTGTGATTCTTGTCCTTTGTTCAGCTTCTTACAACTTAGAGACTAGACTAATGTTATAATAGTTTAAACTATGCATCTCAATTTCTTGGGCTTTCCAACTTTATATTATTGCTTACTTGTTTCTTTAATACTTTTTGTATTAGATACAGTTAACAAAATTTTCTGAAAAAATTTTAAAACTGTTTCAAGCAAAATTTAAATGGTTATCTTTTTACCACACAAAGAAGCCCTCATTATCATAAAATATTCATAGTTTAGTTTAAAAATGTTATTAATGTCCTAATTCAATGTAAGTCTTTTTTTTTTTAATTAAACAATCTGGCTTTTCAATTTGTAAGGTTAAAGAATAGCATGGCAGAAGTGATTAATGTCACTTAACACTGGTTAGAAAGCATATTTTTTTTGTGATGTATGTTTTCTCAAAAGTAAGAAAAAATGAAGCATGCCCCTCTTCATTGTTACCATTCTGTTTTTCAGCCTGGCTGGGTTGTTCTGGACCAACCAGATGCTGCTTGCCATCTGCAGCAGCAACAAGAACCTTCCCCACTACCTCCAGGATGGGAAGAGAGGCAGGATATCCTTGGAAGGACCTACTATGTAAACCATGAATCTAGAAGAACACAGTGGAAAAGACCAACACCTCAGTATGTGATGATGGCATTCACATTTGTAGTCTGCATACATTTGGACCACTAATTTTCATTTTGAAGTCCTGGCTCAAATGGATTCATAATAGCTTTGTTGTTAAGTGCCACTGAGTTAGTTCCTACTCATAGCGACCCTGTATTGCATTTTCCAAGGAGCAGCTAATGGGTTTGAGCCCCTAATCTTGAAGTCCAGCAGCGCATTAGCCCACAGCACCACACCAGAAGTCTTCATAACAGTTTGCAAACCTGGAAGAACACCCAGATTTATACCCGATGCAGGGCTTAAAAAAATGCTACTGTAGCTCAATTTTGGTTTTAAATGATAAGATCTGAAATTGTGTGAATCACAAATAGAATTACAAATGCTTCCTTTTTAAATCTCTTCTTTTTAATAAGTTGCCAGTTGGTTATAAACATGCTTTTGACCTGCAACGGGTATGTTTTGCTCTTTAGACTAATTAACAAAATACTGGTTTTTTAGCTTACTGTTAAAATACTCAATTCCACAGTACACTATTTTTAGAATATATATAGAGAGAGGACCCAATAACATGCATCTTAACTAAATTCCCATTTGCCAGTGTGGCTGAGATATGTATCTCAATTTATCAAAGACCTTCAAGATATTCTAACTTGTGTCTTCTCAATGATACTTTTCTGATGATCAGATTTTGCCTATTATTCTTCCATTATTCATATTTATGATCAAAATCCCTTATCCCACTGCCTTCTATATAGTCTACTGAAGTCCTTCTTTGGTCTTAATGCTACTGGTTGACAGAGACATAATTTTTCTTGTCTGTTAACTCTTTAATTTTCAGCTTTGATATTTTGTGCTTGACATAGCCATAGCACTTTAACAGATTCTGTTTTTTGTTCTCAGATCTTTCCAATCAAATCAACAATCCAAGTTCTTTATAACAAGAGGTGTGGGTCTCTCTAGAATGATGTATAGATTGAACACCTGAAAAAGAGATGCCATTGAATCCCTAGTCTATTGAATGTTAAAAGTCTACACTGTCTTTCATTCTGTCTTCTGCATCCATACATAGGGAATTCTACCCCTGGTCTAAGAGCAACTATAGAAAATACTACTATATAATTCATGACAATGTATTGTTGTTGTTGTGAAGTGCCGTCGAGTCGGTACCGACCCACACTGACCCTGTATATACGGTTTCTGATTTGCGACTCGGGAGCTTGAGCCACCAACCTTGCAGTCCAATGCATTAATACATAACACCACACCAGGACTCCATGAAGATGTAGATGTAACTCTTAAAGCTTCTTTTTTATAAACTCTCAGAATTACTTTAGATTTACTCCTGTAACTTGCAAAGTAACAATATGAAATTATTTATGAAAAAAGTATCAGAAAGTTTCATAAATAATTATTGTAGGCACAGTGATGAAAAAAAAATCCAAGGGTTAGAGATACGCTCAGTGTTCTGTTGAGCGCACCACTTCACATAAATTGAGACAGACTTTGGCTAAAAACAAGTAGTCCTGATCTTATATAGACATTTTTCTTAAATGATTACAGAATTGTTGACTATTATTTGAATTATTTCAAGACATAGTTTATGATTTTATGCTTCTAACATAGGGACAACCTAACAGATGCTGAGAATGGCAACATTCAATTGCAAGCCCAACGTGCATTTACCACCAGGCGGCAAATATCCGAGGAAACAGAAAATGCTGACAACAGAGACTCTTCTGAGGTATATATATGTTTGTTTGTTTTAAGATTTTCATTGGCATACGTGTGTTATTGCAATGGATGACAGTACCTGTGCTGCTTGTTTTAGAACTGGGAAATTATAAGAGAAGATGAAACCACCATGTATAGCAATCAGGCCTTCCTATCATCTCCATCTCCAAGTAACTTGGATGTTCAGACTCATCTTGCAGAAGAATTGAATGCCAGACTCACTACTTGTGGAAATTCAGCCACCAGCCAGCCAATATCCAGCTCAGTAAGATGTTTTTAGAACTTTGCTGTGGCTTTAGTATGTTATACTATATATGATGACTCCATTCCATAAGTGTGACTTTTGTATAAAATTTTGTCTCAGATGGCATGTAGTGAAGTATTAGGGACTTTGGGACTTTACAGCATTGTCACTGATATTTTGCAGGTATCCCCACTAATAGTATGGTGCACAGTCATGGCTAATCCAAATGGCCATTGGAGTCCAACTGCCATCCAGCCAGTGACCACCAGGAACACATTTTTAATGAGCAAATTTGGTTTATTGTTTCTGCAAGTGAGAACATGCACCCGGGGGAAGCACTGGCTATCTCAGTTAGAGGGTGTCAGAGAAGACTTATTAACAGGTTTGATCTCACATGCGGTGATTTTGAGGCGGGTTTAAGGAAGCAAGGCTTTGTTTGGAATGGATGCTGTCAGGAACAGGAATGGTTCTTGGAGTCTCTCAGTGCATCTTAGCTGTAGCTGTGCTAAAGCTTAAACTGGTCAAGAAGCAGTAGTCATTCACTAGGTAGGATAGGGAGATGTTTGGAATTCTGTGGCTTGGGCAGTGTTCATGTTTTGTCTATGTTCAGGCATGATTATAGAATGTTCTTGTGTTTTCTCCCATCATGGTCTGAGTGGCCTTCTCTGATGTTGATGTTCTGTGAAATTGTTTATGTTCACTAGGAGAACACCAAGACCTTGTGGTGAGTGTGCCAGACCAGCTACCAGATTTCAGGAGCTGTTTTTCTCTTTCTCATTATGTGGTTTTGATATTATATCTCTGATGTCACCAACACAAACGTGTGTGACTAAGAGCTGATAGACTTTGACTAAACAAGGAGATAAATGATATTCTTACTCCAACAACCACTATGAAAATTTTTGGCCCTGGAATTAGGAAACAAGTACTCACAGGATACAATGCTATGATGAGATCTTTATGGCTACCTCTCTAGTCTGTAATAGCATGGGAGATCCTTCAGTGCAAGGCAATGATTATTCTCTTACATGGTAATTTGTGGGAGCAAGGTTTACAGTTGGAGCCCATCAGCTGCTCTGCAGGAGAAAGATGAGGCTTTCTGCTCCCACAAAGATAGATTTAAAACCTCAGAAACTCTACACAGGGTCGCTGTGAGTTGGAACCCACTCAATAAATCTTAACAACAACAACAATGGTCATTTATAGTGGGCGTTCCCTGGCCTTTCATTCAGTAAATATTTGAAGGCTAGTTACTGGGGATGGAGTCCTGGTGTGGCGCTGTTTGTTAGACTGCAAAGACATTCGAACTGCAAGGTCAGCGGTTCAAGCTCAACAGCCGCTCCTTGGAAACCCTATACAGGGTCGCTATGGGTCGGAACTGACTTGATGGCATTTAACAACACCAACAACAGTTACTGGGGGATACATCACTAAGTAAAACAGACAAAATCCCCTGCCTACTTGGAACTTTCATTCTACTGCAAGGGTTTGCAAATTACTACCTTTGGAAAACTATGATTACTTTAGTGAAAGTAGACCAGCCTTTGCCTATTACTGTAAATAAAGCTTCATTGGAATATAGCCCCATCCATCTATTTATGTATTGTCTATGGCAGCTTTCACCACAACACACTATAGCAAACAGAACTGAAGAGTTACGACAGACACCATGTAGCCCACAAAGACTAAAATAGTGACTCTATATGGACCTTTGCAGAAAAAGTTTGTCAACTTTTATTCTATAGCACCTTCAGCAAGAAACTCTGGTGTCCACAGTTGTGTCTAGACCATCAAGACAATATCCCAGAGCTACCTGCTTACCTCCTTCTCATTGCCTTCTTGCCTGCATGGTTTCTGCTGAGAAACCAGAGCTTAATTCTGTTGTTTTTTGTAGGTAACGTTTCTATTTCCTGAGCTTTTCTCAGGATTCTTTCCTTGTCTTTTATTTTGGAGAGTTTGAGTATGATATGTCTTGGTGATTTTCTTTGGAAATCCACACAATTTGGGGTTCAGTCAGTTTTTTAAATATTTATCTTCTTGTTTTTCATAATGTTAAGGAAGTTTTCTTCCAAAAACTCTTAGATTATCATTTCTGTGCTTTTGTCTCTTCCTGTTCTGGAATTCCAGTCATCCATAAGCTATTCTTTATATTGTCTCACATGAATCTTATGTTTTCTTCAGATTTTTTTCCTTCTTTTTTCTGATTTTTCTTCCAGTTTACTAGTATTAAGAGATTAATCTTCAAGCACATTAATTCTGGCTTCCATTCATTCCAATTTATTCCTCTGACCTTTCAATGTGTTGTCCATTTATCAATTCTTAGTGTTAATCTTAAAATTTTCTATTTGCAGATTTTTGTTCCCAATCCTTTTGTGTTGTTCCTAATCCTTTATCTAACTTGTCTGTTTGTTCCTATAGTGTTTTCCTGAATTCTTTGTTTTCCTTGACCTTTCTGTCAATCATTTGAGGCATCTAAAGATCATATTCTTGAATTCTTTTTCAGGTAGTTCCAATAACTTTTTTTCTTCAAAAATATTTCCTAGCTCTACCTCTTGGCCACTTGTTTCTTCCTCTGAACAGAAATAGTTGCTTCTGAGACAGTGGTGGTGGTGTGTCTGTATTAAGTTGATGCCTGTATGTTGGTGTATTCTTAGTCACTCACCAACTGCTTCCTATTACATGAGATTCAATGAAAGCATACATACAGATCTCTGTTTGCCATTCGTGCAACATACTTTAGGATGAGTTCTGACTGATGTTGGTTATTGTTGATGATCAGCTGTGTAGCAGCTGGTATTTGCTCTTGCCTGATAGGTGGAGTTGTAGAGGGTACGGCTGTGGCTGGACTATAGGTACAGTTGCTTCTACCTGTTGGGTGAGGAGGAGAAAACACACCTACAAGAGAGAAGAAAAACAAACAAGCAAACATCAGTGAAAAAAGAAAATAGTGGGGGGAAAAATAAGGCAGGCAACAGCTAGAACGATATGAAAACCCAAAAAAGGGGAGAGAAGATAAAAATACATATATGTTTTAATTTTAAGAACAAAGAAGAAAAAAATAAGAGAAAATAAAAAGGAGACAAACTAAATACAATTAAGGGCAGGGGTATGTAAAAGGGTAAGAGATCAGAGGAACAGTAAAGGAAAACCAAGAGAAAAAGAAAAAAGCAGAAACAGTTGATGGAAAAGGAAAAAATGAAAGTAGAGCTAGAAAGGATAAAATGCAAGTGTAGACAAAGAGGGGAGGAAGAGGAAGAAAGAATAAACAATAAAGAAAAACAAAAGGGAAAAGCGAGGGTAGGTGCTAGTCCGTGAGAAAAGAAAACTTGGGACTCTCCTGGCAGCCAAAGGCCTCATGTCCTGGGTGGGTAAGGGATGAGATAGTGACGCTCCAGCCTTAGATGGAGCACCTATAGGGCTAAGTGGAGTCCTTTCTGGGAGCGCAATCTGAAAATACTTCATGCATACACCAGAGCTGCTGGGAGATCAGGGTGTTTCCCTCTCAGAGGGCAACCAGGGACAAGAGGTCCTGCTAGTCCCGGGCTGGCCAGAACCAGTTCTGCACATCTGGTACAGGCCCCACCTGTAATTTCAGGTGTCTGAGTTGGTTCTGCTAGCTTCCTACTTTCTTGGATGTGCCTCTGACCACCCAGAGAGCAGAACTTTGCAGGAAGTGCATTAGAGTGGAGGCTGGCCACACCCCTGTCATCAGGGTAATGTGAGGTATAAGGAAAAATATCTCACCTCTTACTCCACCAGTGAGTCTTATAACTGCCACCAACTGCCTTCTTGCCTCCTTAGCTGCCTGTGAAAATTCAAGGTGGGCACACTGTACCTGGCTGCCCAGGACAGATCACCTTTCTCCTTCCCCACATTTCTGTTCACCTGCTTCTTCTAGGAAGGGTTAGTCTAGGACTGGTCAGGGATGCCCTGAATCCTGGTGGCAGGTTGATGCAGATAGCTCTGCATTCCTTTGACAGGACTCAAAACAGCTGCACTCACCTTCATGTGGCTCCAACCAGGAGAGCAGGAGCTTTGCTGGGATGGGGCCTGGCCACTTCTCAGGTTACCAGGGAAGTGTGGAGAGCAAGAAAAAACTGTACCTTTGTCTCTTCGAATTAGTAGTATGTTTTTGCAACACCATATGCTTTGTTGTCTCTGAAACTGCTCACAAAAGCTTAAGCTGGCCACATCACGTCTGGTCGGCTGGCACATGTCACCAGTCTCTCTCCTTTTTTGCCGCATTTGTTTAGCTTTCTCTCCTAGTACACAATCAGTTTACTTCTCTAACCCTTCGTCTGAAACTCAGGATCCAAGGACTATCATCAGCTTCTGTTTCGTTTGGTTTTCTGTATCTTTGTTATAGAGAATCTGTGTAGTGTTACTGCCTAGTCTGCCAGTTTGATGCCTTCCTCAAATATTCCATTGTCTTTTTTTTTTTTTTTAATGTTTTATTGTGAATTATGTGATAGCTTACATGGGAGGACATTAGTTTTACATTCATCCTGTCGTGTATATATATTATTTCATGCCATGGTTACAATCCCCTCCATGCATCATCAACCAAACACAGGGTATACTCTACAAGCCTGCCCCCCTGGTCATCAGCATACAGCTCCTCTACCTCTCTGTGTCTAAAGTCCCCATCTGCTCCATCTCCCCACATCATTGTCTCTGCCTCCATCTCTGGCATCACTGCTTCTCTGGGTAGGGTCCCAATCTCCACTCTTCTCCCTTGATGGTCCCAGGGGCCTCTGCTCCTGGACTGCAAAGTTAATCACTACCCTCCTTGCTACAAAACGTCTACCTTTGTATTTCCAACCCTCACAATCAGTCCTGATAACAGTTATTCACTATTGTATCACAAGAGACCCATCTGCCTTTCATCCCATCAGCCCTGCCTAGACAAATTAGATACTACTCAGTGAAGATTCTCCCTTCTTCCGTGCCCTCTGGATCTAAGTTCCCTCTTGAAAGCTTGTAAGGCAGTCACTTCTTGCCTTTGTAGCACCCCCATTTTA